TATTTTAATAAGGATTAATAAATATAATAAAATTTTCTCTTTTTTTTCGCATTTTTTTAACTTTTTTGCATTTTTTTACATTTTTTCGCATTTTTTCGGGCATATTTTAAAGCCATAAAGGGTATATTTCGGCATACAGTATATAATAAATTACCGCACGCATATTTTTGATTGGCCAACGCATATATGCGGCCGCCCTAGTACAGACACTGCGACGCGTCGATCAATTTCGACGGTTATGATTGGTCGCAATGCTGTATCGATTAAATACGCGACAAACTTAAATATCTCAGACTGAAATAACAAACCGGGGTTTTGATACTTTACTACCGCGCCATGTAAAGAATGGGATGCACTAGAATATCATGAGGAATGGTGCGCGCCCAACATCCCATTAACAAGGCAACGATCACGGTAGCAATCACGCGACAACAAGAATGGCTTATGAAGAAAGGATCAGAAGAAGAAAAGAAGGAAGCAAACAGAATGTTTAAGCAATTTAAGGTGTGTTAATTTTTTGCGTTAGAGGGCCAGTGCTGGTTTAGTTATGTAGGACGAGTGAGGGTTTAGGATGAATGGCTTCGATAGTGTAGTGATTATCACAAGCTTTACACGCTTAATGTCCTTGGGTCGAACCTGAGACGAAGCATTTGTTTTTCATTATTCTGTCCGAGATATTGTTACGTTTTTTTACGTGGCGGTTGTGGCGGGAATCACGAGGGAATACGTTCCGCCCGTGTATGGAATACGTTCTGCCCTGTCTCAACTGAGATTGAAGCTACCCACTGGAATACGTATCCGAGTGGCGATGGAATACGTTCCGCTGAAATCTTTCCATGAACTTGCAAAAGTTAATAAATTATCATGTTTTTATTACTATATTAATTTTTTGTATGAAGGTATAAAAGCTGGTGGGTATATTGATGATTTTTGGATTAAAATGGATTTGGAGAGGTAAATAGACTTACAAGAGATTAAGATTTCTGCTGAAGTTCGTAAAATGCAGGTAATGAAAATTGTTTCTTTTTAGCCTTTACCCGCACATCCTAAGGCTAAGCTTAATGTAAATTATGCAATAATCGGATAAATGCTTGAACATGGTAAAGGGTTTGACTTTATACTTCTATATTTAGTGTTATCACTTATAAAAATATCACGTTTATGTAGAAAAGACACGAATTCGATCAAAGTCTTGGGATCTGTAGCTTTATTGCGGTCCTGAAAAGATAATCGATATATGCCAGGTACATGATATACGTCAATACTTTTTGATCAGATCTGACGATTTTAAATTTGTCAATACATAGGATATAACGAAAAAAGTTATAGCTTTGAGCTGTGACGACTCAGGCTATATAATATCAGTTTATTTTTCTAATGTTTATTCCTCACGAGTTGGAGGGGTTAATAGTCTTTCCTCTTCCCAATACATATATCCATCACGTAGCAATCTATTACAGTATATGTCGGCCCATCGATTGCAACCATACGATTCTTGGGATTATATATTTTTTTGTTTCTTCGAACGCCCAGCTAGTTTGGATAATCCCTTAGCGATAATCGTTTCTTTGTTATATTCCGGCTCTTTAGTGTATAAGTTATTCATTTTTTTAGTGATATATATTGTCAATATATGTATGTGGTATCGCGTTGGCATTCTTTATTATATGTAATACATTTTCTCCACCAATATTTAAATCGAATATTCTGTTATATTTGTAATAAAGCGGAAAAAATTTATATGAATCGCCTTACTTGTAAACATGTTAAAATGAATGGAAGTGTTTGTGGGCGAGTCTGTACTCGTCTAACTGGATGCACTCTTCATTGGAAAACTGGTAGTAATAAATTACCTTGTAGTATATGCGATTTATCCACTTTATACGGGTTATTGCTCTAAACATGTCAATAAAATTTATCGCCAGGCAGAGAGGGAGAGATAAAAAAATGCTCTTATCGATTCAACCCCTAATATTTATATATATATATTATTTCGGGAGAAATGACACTACATTCTTGGGTATCACAAAAACTAGCATCATTATTTGAAAATTTTATATTAATAGTCTAGTTTGAGGAGCAAAAAATCTCTACCTGCAAAATTCATCTTAGTACTGTATATGTGTGTTATATTGTAATCTATCATAGATATACATTTTCTTGGAATACCGTTATTTTTTCTGTCCACTTTTCATCATCATAATTCCTTGCTCAGGGATTGTCATCGTCTTTATAAAGTCAGAGCATAATTTTCTTATTAATTGTTATTGTCTAGACATATCCACCAATGTATTTGGGTTATCATCAGTATCTTTTGCGAATTGGATCATATTTGCATCTGAATATAATCTATCATGATATACGAAAAAAAAAAGTCTACTTAGACCAATTCATACATTTGGTCAACAAATACATGAACAAAACCATCCAAAACATAACAACACCCTTTATTAGCTTGGAATTTTCATACAGCACTAGCCCAGCCTTGGCAGGTTAGCATCCTTTAAAATGAGATGGCAACAAGTTACAATAAAGTAAGGCTGAGCCAGCATTTAAAAAAAAAATTAAATTTCTATTTTTTTCAGCAATATCAAATAATATTAAAGAAATAATTTAAATAACAAATAAAATTAAAATTAAGATAAAAATAATGGCTAAAAATAACTATTCAATGGTATTAGAGACTATTTTTATCACACTTTTCTCTTCTTAAAAAGTTAAATTCTTTGAATAAAGTCTTCTTTATAAGGAATTAAATTATTTCAGTAAACTTCATTAATTATTTCAAAGAGGTAGTTCATGAATAAGAATTTTGTTTGATAAATTTGATTTAAAAGATTTTATAGATACACCTAGCTACAGTTGCTTCCAAAAGTTTAAGTCCACTTACTATGTTTTTATTATAAATTTTAACTTTGACAATTTTTAAATCCTTAATTATACAATCAAAAATTATGAAATTTATATATAT